ATGGGTCTCCTTGTCTACTGACCCCCAAACTTGGCCTTTAACTCCTCCAAACGTTCCTGGAGCCAGTTTCTGAGGAGGAGAGTACAAAAATTTGTGTGTTATACAAAATCGACTTGTGCATGTAAATATCTGTGTTCTGTGTGAATGTTATTATTTAACGTGGGTACAAGCGCCTACTTGGAAGTTTGTGCAACTTCGCTCTCATGGATCTGCTGAGCTCAGATATCTGCTCAGTAAACTTGGTGAACCTCTCCTGTAGGGTGTCCTCCTGAGCCTCTGCAGGTGAGAGCGGTGGACAGAGAAAGTTATAGAAGGAGGAAAATAAACGTACAGCTGCAAAGTCGTAATTAACTCAAGACCTACCTGTGTATGCGACAAAGGCCAGCATCAACACGGCAACTGCAAGATACAGTCTCATCGTGGCTGTGACGGGGGGGGGCACAGAGAAATGTCGCTGTTTATTTGCACACAGACTTAATATAGCACAATGGGGAAAAGGAAGAGATCAAAAAACGTTTTGCTTAGTTTTTAAAAAAATAGCCCCCACATATGTCAGCACCACGGAGGCGGGACAGCTCCTTTACATCCAGTCTGCTAAACTTCAGTCCTCAAAAAACATTCCTTAATCACTAATGCTTCATTTTCAGCTGTCCAGGTAGTAGAATTCTCTGTGATCTTAAACCACGTTTGCTATTTTTAACACGCAGGTGTAGCCGTAATACCAATGTATATGTCCTAGCAGAGCCTTTGATTGAACACAGTAGCCTACTTGATTATTCTTCAATGTTCCTTAGAAGTTATTAATTTTGCTTCAGTATCATACAGTTACTAAAGTAAAATATAAGAATCCTCCTCAGCTCCAGGAGTGATGCAGATTCAATATAAAACGTACCTGTTTCTGTTTCAGAGGAGAAGTGTTGCAGTGTCCAGTTGTGTGTTCCTTTATAGGCCTGCTGGGTTTAAGGAGGGTGACGTACATCAGACTTAGGTCAACATGGACACGTGCTAACCTTGAGGTGCCACTGCCCCCTTTATTGATCAGCACCAATATAATGGTGTAAATATATTTGAAGGATCCTATCGTGGTGACGATGTTAAGATATGTTGTCTTAAGGGATCAGAGTTTAAGCTTCAGCAGCGATTGTGGAAATAGATAAGGTGAGATGTTATGTGGAAGAAACATAGTTCATCACTGATAATATTATTATAAAAGATCTATTTGGAAGTGCCTTTGGACTCAAGTTATGGTTAAGCATTGGCTCTCTGTCAAATAGCCCTACATTTAATTGATAAGTTATCAAGCTGTAGAGGCAATTGGACTTACTGTGCTAGGGTTGAGTGTTTGTGAACATCATGTAGATTGTTTTGTCTTTGTCTCCAGCTCACTGTCCAGATTTTTTTTAAACATCTTTTAGCCTGTTAGATCATTCATACCTTTACAATTGTGGAAAAAGTACTGAGATCCTAAGTAAAAGTAAAATATTCACTTCAGTTTTGTTTGTATAGTGCCAAATCACAACCATCTCAAGGCACATTACATATAGGTCTAGATTAGATTCCAATTTATTGTCATTACACATGTACAAGGCAACGAAATACAGTTTATCAAATAACCAGAAGTGCAATAACAACAGTGCAGAGTGCACAGTATCTACAGTCTGTACAGTCAGTACTAATTTACTGATAGATATGTACAATATAAAACAGGCTTTATGGATTTAAATTATAAATAATGGATCATGTACATCTCGCCCGCAGCTGGCTGGGATTGGCTCCAGCCCCCTGTGACCCCATTTGGGACCAAAAGGTGTTGAAAATGGATGGATGGATCATGTACAAAAGCCCAAACACTTGGTGATAGCAGGGAGGAAAAGCTCTTTAATAGAAGAAACCTCCAGCTCTTAGTGGGTGGCCTTCTCCCTCAACCAGTTGGGGTGAGTGGATAGAGGAGAGAAAAAATACCATGCTATAAAAGTACTCCATTACAAGTAATAGTCCGACATTCAAACTTTTACTCAAGTAAAAGCATCAAAGTGTTAAACTGTACTTTTAACAAAGCAATATGATAATTATATTTGTGTATATAAAAATTAGAGAAGTTAGAAAAGTAGAATATTTCTCTCTGAATATCACACATTGAAAATTAAAATTGAAATACTTAAGTAAACTACAAGTACGTCAAAATTTTACCTAAGTGCAGTACTTGAACAAATATACTTGAGTAAATGTCTTTCTGTCACTGTCCCTTTGTTGCTTTTTTCATGTGTATTAATTTGCTTATGCTTTTATTAATCTGCTATGTCTTATTCTGATGTCCTAAGACCTACATTTCTGAATGTTGTCTTGTCTTGTCTGTTTATGAGGCAGAAGTCACTGACAGCATGCTGACACATGCAGACTGCTTTTCTGCTTATTTTTTGTTTTCTTTCACTGGTCTACTCAGAATTGCATTGCATCACTTGATGTCTCTGTTATCCAGACCTTCCCTTTCTAAAAAGGGAAGTAAGCCAGACAAAGCTATATGTGGTCCATCTTGTAAGTTTGCATGCAAAAAAAAAACTGTTACTTTGGATGAAATATAGTAGCCCCTCATTACAACTGTGACCTGACTTCAAGCCAGGAAGTCCTTGTCTGCTGGTCTAAAGGCCTTGATTGCTGCTTAACATATCTGTTTTCACACCAAGCAGTGTCCCCATTTATTGCTGATGACTCAGACTGTATTGTGCTGTTGCTATGATGAATTGCCTACACTTGAGTTAAATGAGCCTTCACATGCCCCAACACTCATGCATTACCCCAGAAAGACTAAATCTCCATCTCCTTTGTCATGAAGTGGCCATTGGGTTTATGTATGAGCTTGTGCTTGTGTGCATATAAGCTCCTCTTGAATAAATGTAGGAGTCATAGGGCGTGAAAATGCATGTCGTGCGTGCTCCCAGTTTGCAATAACAAGCTCACAAAAAGGCTGTTTTTGTGTTTGGACGAGGGCCCCTGTGGTGAGTGATGCTGTGTGCATGCTCTGAAGAGGAGGGAGAGGAAGGGGTCATAATAGGAGATAAAATCTCTGCAGGGGTGTTTCGGAGGGGTTACCAGCAGTCATGGGCTAGCTAGCACCTGCTAATTAGCCAGACCTTCTTTTGTTGCTAGGCAGTGCTCAGAATGCAGATGCCCTATAGGACCAGACAGAGCCGAAGTGCTGAATTGACAAGTTCTTTGTGGTTTTCCTGTTTTTACCATCCATGACTAATCTTTGCAGCAATGGACAGTTTACAGTAGGAGTTTCACTTGTCTGGGTTTCAAAATAAACACTGGTTCCTGAAAGAAGTGATATCATCGAAAACAAGGACCTAGTCATAGTGTTATTCTTTCCTCCAGTTTACATGCAGCGCCCTTTAACACAGATGGAAAATGGTAAACAGGTTTTGTAATACCACCACAATAAGCTTGTTTAGTCGAGGTAAGAAGCAGTTTAAAATAATGAATGATCACACATTTTTGAGAGATAACTGATTACTCTACACATATGTATTGGGGGGGGGTTGTTCTTTTTTTTCTAAATATTTTGCCTTTATTTCTGATTGTTTTCAGCTGGACATGAAATGTGGGGGCAGACAGAGTGTCATTTATGGAATTAAATGTATGTGACGTGATTCTTAAATAATTACCAGCTCTGTGTTTCATCACGTGTGCCATGTGTCCTGTTCTTGAAGGTCACGGAATTTGTGTTTCTTTATGAAGCACATGTAGTATAGTTAATCTCCCAGAAAGAAAACACAGCTGCATTTTGTGCACCATGGATTCAAGTGGAGGGGTCATAGGAGAAGAGAGGAGATGAACAAGGGACATGGTGTCCTCTACTGGCCTCTGCTCTGCACTTCAAAGGAAAAATCCTGCTGAGCTTGAAAAGCTTAACTTTTGACTGCAAGAGCCAGTTATCTGAGTTTAGAACAGTCATGGCTGTTTCCCCCCCAAGACAGGTCCAGATGTGTAGCAAGCTAAAAATCACAGTTTTGAACCTTTGCATGTAATGCCAGTGAAACTGCTAGTGCAATAGAGTTTCTGTTTGGGCCAGATGTGTGATGTGACATTTTGTTTTCATTTAATAGCACACAATATAGAGACAGATGGGACACATGGGGGGAGAGACATGCAACAAATGGTCCCCTGCTAGAAACAAACTTTGCAGCTAAATGATATGCAGGAAACAGGACACACATGCTTGCAAACATACGTTTATGTGCATGTTGGCATACTGTCTGCAAACTCCTATCAGCATGTCTGTGCAAATATGTGCATACAAATACACCGATGCATGGCTTATATTGTTAAATAAACCTAGATAAAGTGATAAATGGTAGAGTGTCACCTTAAAAATAATTCAGTATGGGGCACAGAGTGTTCCTGGAATCATGAGAAAAGAATCTGAGAAGAGATCTTAACAAGTCTGGACTAGAAAATGGTAGGTAGGCCAGTTGTTGTGGTGGGTGGCTGTTCAAGGAGAAAAATGGGAGAAAGGGAGATGGTTAGGTGGAGCACGTGTATAGGGAGGGAGGAAAAACTGTGTTTTCTCCATAAGATTAATTACTACACTTTGTGCAGTAATGTAAAGAGAGAGTTAGACTTCTGTGTTTGTGTCTGTGTCAGAAGGTGGATGAAACTGCTCAAAGGGACCAATAGCTTCAGATAAATTCCCTTATATAATCAGCCCTAGCAGCCGTATGCATCAGTGTGCTAATGAAAGAACATGATGGGTGGATTTGCTGCATTTGCAGCACTTTAAGTCTAGTAGACATTGGTTAGGATGATCATCTCAATGCACTTGTTGAAAGTCTTCTAGACTTTCTGGCAAAATTATTTTAGACTTTTCCTTTATATTCAAAGTGCCATAGAAACTAATTGTACACAACAGCTTTGTGGAGTCACCACTTGCGTAACTGAGCCTCATTTAATAGATTACTTTTTCATCTTTGATCAGAGCAACAAACAAGTGGAAACTGAGCATCTTTTTAAGTTCTTTATTCACTAGCACTGTTCAGCACACAGCAGAGACAGGCAGTGCACTTACAGTGAGCAGCATGGTGGGCATATGACATGTGAAACACAAGGGACACTACACTCAAACTGGAGAACAGGTAGGCAGCATTGCATGTTACTCACTGATTGTCATTTTTGCAGCAAGTCATTTTACATTCCACTTCTCTATGAAGCACAGCAACAAGAAATGCAGACAATTCAGAAAGGCACTTTAGTGGTTGTGTATCACATCTAGAAAAACTCAGACACATTATAGTATGTGCCCCCATCTTGTAATCACCATTCAGTGCAACTGAAATGAAAGACACTTGTGTTTGGTGCATGTAAGGAGGACACAGGCTGCAATCACTGCCTGGTGTGTTCAAACTCATCAGCTATATATACAACCAACCAAAATGTAGAAAACTCAATACAAAACTTGGGTGCGGAGCAGACAGCTATCGGTGAATTCAAAGTAGAAAGACAAAGCATTATACAAATAGTTGTTTGTGTATTAAAGGCTACTCTTGATTGCAGTGCATGTGTTCAGTCAGCAAGGGAAGTGATAAAAGAAGAAGAGAGGGTGACTATGCTGAAGGAAGAACTCAAGCAGATGTTTTTCTGCTAACTGTTCTGTAAAAGGTGCATCTCAGCCTCTCTCCTTCCTCTTATCACCTCTCTAGTCCTGAACACAAGCACCCAAAGGAGCTCTCAACTCCCCCTTGCCCCTCTTTTACAGGGTATAAAGAAATCTGTGGTTTATGTTTTTCCTTCCCCTCTACAGACCTTAAAAACCCCTCAGAGTCTGTCTTCAGGCAGAGGTGGTCTCCTTGACCTTTTCCATGATTTTCTCAATCTGTTCACGGAATTTGGTGGCAATGGGGGAGAGCAGCTCGGTGAGCTCATCGATCTTGCCCTCCAGGGAGGTGCGCAGGTCCTGAGCTGTGGACTCCAGCTGGGTCTTGATACCCTCAGCCTGGGTCTCCAGCTGATGGCTCAAACCCTCAGCCTGGCTCTTCAGCATGGAAGAGAGGTCGCTCAGCTTCTTGGTGGCGCTGTCACTGGCCTGCTGGACGTAGGGCTCAACGTGCTCCTTCACAGCCTCCAGGTTCTGGGAGGTGCGGGACTGAACCTCACCCAGGTAGGTGGCCACAGTGCTGGTGGTGAAGAAGGAGCCGTTTAGGTTTCATACTGACAAAGACAAAAAACCTTTAGTCTGAAAGCCCACATCCAACTTACTTGCGGATCTCCTCTGTGTCCTTGTCCAGGCGCTTCCTCAGCTTGTTGGAATAGGTGTTAATGTGGCTGCGGACATTATCGGAGTTCTGCCCCATCATTGCCTTGAGCTCATCCAGGTACACAATGCTGCGCTCCTTGGCATCCAGCATGTCCTGGTGCAGTTTATTGGCCAGAAGCTGCATATCCTGAGACAGCTGGCCAGAGGAGAGATCAGCATAGGGGCTCAGCTTGGTCTGGATGTCATCTCTGTAGGTTGACAGTTCTGTCATACTGTCAGTGATCAGAGTGCTGTAAGCAGCAAAACAGGGTGGTTGGATATGAAGACCAATTATCATAGTGCAAAAATAAGAAGTTAGAAATGTAAAAAAAAAAAAAAAGGTACTGTAACTAAGGACAGACTGTTCACTGACTACTGAAAATGAGAAGGCAATGGAATGATGAATTGCTCAAGGTGACTTACTCTAGATCCCTTCGGAGCTGAGAGGCTTTGAGGTCATCCACGACTCCATCAGCTTTTTGGTTCAGCTGAGAAACATGCTCCCAGAAACGATCCACCATGTCTTCCCAGCGGTTTTGGGGGACATCTGCCTGGGGCACAGCACGGGCATTGCAGCCTAAAATGGGCACAAGTAGAAAACATGGATAAATGCACAATCACACATCCAGTGAAACACAGTGTAGGCAAACCATAACAGTTACACTTACCAGTGATGACTGCCAGAGCAAGGATGAGAGCTACAGCCTTCATGGTTGTTAGATAGACAGCTAGGTACACCTGTGAAATAAAGCAAAAAGGGTCACGAAAAACCAACCATAATGCAAAGGGGTGTGGTAGAATTTCACAAGAGAGCAAAGCATATTTTCACGTTTTTAACAACTAATAAACTATCATTTAAGCAAAGGATATTTTCAGAATTAGGAACAATATATGTGAGCAGTCACAGCCAATAACTGGGCATCTAACACATCAAAATTAGATGAGACGTAACATAAAACCCAGCCAGTTGCCAAGAGGCTTCGGGCTTCTGTGCGTGCTGCGCAGCTTCCCACTCACCTGAAAGGTCGAGCTTCGTCCGTGCTCCCTGAACAGTGACTTGAGGCTTTTATAGAGTCCGGAGGCTGCTGCTGCGCGTGTCCCCGGGGGAGTGATTACTGGCGCGCGTTCACGTGGTAATGATGATTTACACACAATCCTGTTTCCTTCCACGCAGCGTGCCACCGTGCCACGATGTCTGAGGGGTGATTGAGCAATGTGCATGTCACAAGAATAACGGGGTAAAAGTTCCGCACCCGGTGTCATGAAGATATGGCCCCTTAGTTGGTTTTCACATAGTTCACACAGTTGACAAAGCCTCATCCACAGTGAGCCTTCAGGTGTCAGACATGTTTGAGGCAGAGTTCTGAGCCCACATTCAGCAGTGCTCATTGTCCGATTATAAACAGCGTTGTCATGTTGTAGCTGGTGGCGCCGATCACTTTATATATTGCTGGGCAATCAACTTTTTAACAATTCAGTATATTTTCTAAGCTAATTACATGGGTTGTTTTATAGCCTGAATAAGGAAAGTAAATAGCTGCCAACAGGGGCGAGTCTAGAAAATGGCGGACGGGGTGGCCAGGCTGGGGCATAGACTCAGACTTAGTGATAGCACCTTTAAAATAGATGTAAAAAGTAAATTAGATGGCTAGTACTACATTACTACATTACTGTACATTATTAAGAATCATTAATGAATGCAAATGTCATTCAGCGTGTATGATATAAAGACTAATTAGACTATAAGCTATTATTTCTTTGTAGCTTCTTCCGGTTCTTTCAAACCAGGAACTCTCAATGAGACGAAAGAGACCGCTTTAGATTTTATAAAAAATAACCGTGCTGGTTTATTCAGAGGATCACAGGTAAAATTCACAGTACACGTCCAGAGCTCTCTCACCCCTCTGCCTGCGCGCAGGCAGCAGAAAAGCTGAAGATGTCTGGACCCAACAACCTATATAATATTAATCATTTTTGGGCTAGCCCATGCTACAAGGGGCGTCAAACCGTGACGCCACCCGATAAGCAAGCTTTGCAGCTGCTCTATCGTTTAGCCAAAACATGAGGAAAAGTCAAGGTGCGTGACTGTTGTTTTCGTGGTGTGTATCTAAACAATTGGACATAACCTTACACAGTAAGACAAATATTAAGACTAGCATTACAGTTGACCCTAAAAGCTCTTTTCCTGTAACCTTGGCGTGCCTGCAATCCTCACTGCAGGCTGGCAACTGTTTATTATTGTTTTTCATTTTTCATTCATTAATAATGACAAGCATCACATTAGGACTCTGGCAGGGGTGGCACCAGGGGTGGCTAATCAGATTCTGGGGTTGGCTGGTGCCACCTCTTGCGACCACTTTGGCTCTGCCCATGTCTACCAAATAAGGATACTGGAGTGCAAAAGCAAAAATACTCAACTGGAACAAAAACAAAACAAGCACAATTTGTGCTTTTCTTACGCAACTATAATTTGCTGCCAGTTATGTTTGTTATTATAATTGTCTTTTACTTTTTCATGTCACTGCTGCTTTCTCCCAAATAACCAGTTTGAGTTCTTCTTTTGTAACTGATTGTTGCAGATTTGTTGTTAATTGACCGCAACTTTGGAGGTTTTTCACTGGTCATTATCACTAAGTGATCTTCTTGGAATATAAATCCTCCTGCATGGCTCTAGGATGTAAATTAAGGTATCTCACATGCATTTGAATCTAAATGTTCTGCTACTGCAGACTGTTGATCCCCCACTGATCCTTCTCAGGCAGACACACAAACACAAATGGCACAACTGGACGACAGTGTCACTCTCATATTTCAAATAATGAATGTAGTATATGTGATTTTTCAGTATGCCAGTCAGTTACATTTTCTATATACTGTACATGATGTACTGTGCTGTTACATGAAGTAGAGGTATAAATTACCAATAAGTGCCTGACGTGCAAATAAGGTGTCAACACTACAAGATGGGCATGTTCAGGCTTGGGGATACACTCACATGCAGTAGGCCCACTGGAGGAGGATTACAGGTCATAAAATACAGAGAACCTAAAATATTTTATGACCTGTAAATGTTTTTATGAGGACACTGAACAAAAGAAGAAAATTATACAGGAACCATAAGGGAAACACCATGGGATATATATTTTAATGCTGTGGGTTTTCACAAAGGATAGTTATTTCCACAAAAAAAGAAAGAAAGAAACTGGTATAGGAAAGGGGAAGTTTGATGCAGAAATAAAGTAGTTATCCCAGAGTACTAAACAGTAAGAATCAGAATCTGCTTTATTGGCCAGGTGTGTCGGGCACACGAGGAATTTGACTCTGGTACATCGGCTCTTAATGTGCATGTACATATCCCCATGCAAGAGGCAAGTAAACAGTAAACCAACATAAGTCTAGTATAACAAAATAAGCAGTATTAACAGCAACAAGTCAAAGTCAAAGTGTTTATTTGTCATATACACAGTTAGGAAACATTTTTCCCTGTACAATGAAATTCTTACGTTGCCGTCCACATGAATGCCACAAAATACAAATGTAGAATAAAGTAGATAAATAAGTAACATGAAATCTAAGGCACTTTAAGCAGCAACTCTTTACTATATTTCTGCAATTGCTGCTTAAAAGTGCAAACAGTGCAAACAATGCAAACTAAGCAGTATAAACAGGCAGTAAACAATGCAGACAGACAAAGGAATGCTCATTGTGAAATGAGATAAATAGGAATAAAAACAGAGTACATAAAAGTAGAGACTGGTACGGATGTGTATAATCTGTACAATATATATTTACAGGTATTGCACTGAGGGTTATTGTCCAGTCATACAGTTGTGGGTCAAGTGTTCATCAGAGTGATGGCCCGGGGGAAGAAACTGTCCCTGTGCCTGGTTGTCTTAGTGCACAGTGACCTGTAACACCGTCCAGAGGGGAGGAGTTCAAACAGATTGTATCCGGGGTGTGAGGGGTCTGCAGTGATCCTCTCCGCCCTCCTTTTGACCCATGAGATGTACAGGTCCTCCATGGAGGGCAGGCTCACACCAATGACCTTTTCTGCAGTTCTGACTGTCCACTGAAGTCTGTACTTATCCTGTTTGGTTGTTGAGCCAAACCAGACAGTGATGGAGGTGCAGAGAACAGACTTGGTGATTCCTCTTTAGAACTGTATCAGCAGCTCCTGGGGCAGGTCAAACTTCTTGAGCTGGCACAGGAAGTACATCCTCTGCTGTGCCTCCGTGATATTGTAAATATTGTTATGAACCCTGGTGCATGTTTGTGTTGGACTGCCATCTCCATCACACAATACATACAGTATATTTTTGACTTATCTGACAGACACAGCTGTTATTTACTTGTGATTACTTGTGATGTGAGCTGAGAATCAAACAGATTTTTGTAATGTCAATCAAAGCTTCGCTACTGAAGGACAAAGGATGCAAAAACTCCAAAACAGTAAATTCAGTCCCAAACCCTGACAACACACTATTGGTGAAGCAGTATACAAAACTTTACATTTATAATTTCTGTATCATAAATTAAACTTTATTTATTGAATATGTTTTTTAGGTATCATAATGTATAGAAAATAGCAAAGGTCTTGTGTTTTATTGCTCAGTGAAGGCCCTGTCTTCTTCCTTCAGACATATCCAGGCTAATGACTCATCAGTGTGAGCCGGCGGTCATTTGGTATTTGTCCGCAGTATAGTAAAAAAAACACTGCATAACTCATATATCATACTTTACCTATTATGTTGTGTAATTTCTTAGTAGTAACAGAATTGGAAAGTGGCTTTTTTATGAAACCAAATGGTTAGACTACTCCCACATTTTCATGTATTTTTGGCAGTACATATACGAAAACAGATGCTTTTTCCTATCGAATTCAACTCTGATTCCTTCACTAGTTGTGTGTAACCTTTGCCCTTTAGGACTCAACCTATTTGTTGTCAACCCAACTGGTCTGGTAATTAGTGTGAGAACATGATAACCTTAATGTGTGATAACACAAAGAGGTCAACTCTGTATTAAGCGATAAGGAGACTATACCCACCAAATAGTTCAGATAACTTGTGATGAATGAAAATAGTCAATCAACAATTAGATTAAACACTATATATGGAAATCTTCAGATTAAATGTATTACTTTTCTGTTAAAACCAAAAGACCTTTGGCCTTGGTATTCTACAACAATAGTGTGTGCCATTAAGGAGGTGTGTCACTTTAAGTTCAGCTAGATAACAAGTCCAGTCCTGTTCAGACACACAGAATAAATCAAGATCAGTAATTTAATTTCGTCAATCGGAGCAAAATGTTCTAATGCATCAACTTTTAATTTTGTCTCTTTTGTTGACAGAAGCATTTGCTCTAATTACAGCTGCTAAGATAAATTAATATTGGGATGACAAACACCGACGAGATATTTTATGTGTTTCTTTTTCTTGTGCAGAGTTGATGGACCAAAGTGAACATCCAGCTCACATGTTACAAGCCTGACTGCACAATCCTGCAGTGCTACCAGGAAAAAAGGCAGAGGGCAGATGTGGATGTGTGGGGAAGTGAAACCATGAGGTAATATAATAACTTGCATGGTCATCTAAACTACAGATGCTTCTCCTTTTGCTCCAGAACAACCGAGGCAATGTCTGATGTCTATCGGTAAAGACTGTGTGACAGGGCGTCTTTAGATTAGGTTTGAACAAAGGTAACCCTGGCCTGATGATGTTGTTCTCTGGAGGTTGGTTTTTGGTTAAGTGTGGATGATCTCACCCCTCCAAAGTGACAAACTACTGTTTAGATAAGTGAGTGAGGTTACTGCAGTTAACATCTGTGGGTTTTTCCTGTAGCCTATCTCCCATCTGAGTCAGAGTGGTATCAGCTGATGTGCTGACAGAGCCAAATGTCCGAGTAGGACTGCTGAATTTTCTAGTGCTGTCTCTTTGTAATGAAAGGGTCACAGGTCTGATAGCGTCACATTTGCCAAACAGATATAAGACTGGTATCAGTTTTCATCTAACTCTGCAAGAAAACTATAAGAGCTTGTACCAAAAATGCCAAACTATTCTTTTTAATGTCTTTTCTGACAGTTTTAGCATTGGGGGTGACTGTGGTTCAGTGGGTAGAGCGGTCGTCTCCCAAGGGTTGGAGGTTTGAATCACGGTGCCTGCATGAGTCCACATGTCAAAGTGTCCTTGGGGAAGACACTGAACCCCCAAGTTGCCCCCGATGATTAGAGCCATTGGTGAGTTGGCGGGAAACAAATTCCCTGTGTGTGTAACATACTTGGCCCAATAAGTAAACGTGAAAGGTGGGTGAAACCTCATGTGACAAATTCATACATGAGCGAGAGCCCTTATGACTGCCTCAGTTGTGTAACTCACCGAAAACAGGACTCTGCAAATGTATTTGAAAACTGCTTCAACAATGTAGGTTTTAAGTTGTTTAAAAAGAAATGAGAAATGACCTACAGCAAGACGTGGACTTCACTGCAGCTCATAGTGTATTTTCATTTGCCTTTTTAAAAAATGTTTTTGTCCATTATCTGCTGACAGTAAAATGCTTAAAGGTAACACAACATGCAATTTGTACTTTTTAGGATCTTTGTGGCTCCAATTCACCATGTTTTAACAGTTGTAGGTATAATATTGCAAACTCTTAACAGATACAGAAAGTAATAAAGTAAAAAAAAAAAGGGTCCTCAATCTACTGAAACCTGGCAGGCATTTTTAGTAGAGAGAAGGTACTAAAACATTTAGCTTTAAAACCTGTAGATTCAAAACGTAGCTAAAAAAACCTTCAGATCATTTGACAAAAGCAGAAATCAGAAATGTGTGTGTGTGTGTGTGTGTGCGTGTGGAGGCTTAATGGTGTGTGGAGCCTTTACAGCTGGGGGAAGGTCAGAGGAATGTTTGTCATTGGGTAAGGCAGCGTGGGAGCGATCTGGCACAAAAGGAAAACTAAAAAACAAGGTAGAAACAGGACATGTTTATGAACTTCCATGCTCAGAGAGACAAACCTGAACATGCCCAGTGCAATACCCTCAACTGAATCTCAAAAGGGGCGTAGTAGGGGGCAGGGTTATGCAACCAGAGACTGAACAAACAAGAAAGGCTTTATTTCCCACAGATTTTTGTGTAGGCCTAATATATTTTTACTGTCAAAATTGTTTTTTATTCCCACACATGAATATTTGCAATGAAGTGACTCTGTGTTCACCTGATGGTACTAACTGTGTTCAAACAGTTACCAGCTGCTTCATGTAGTCAAGTAAAGAAATGTTTTCATGTGTGGGACATTTGTTAAACATGTGTTTTGTATTGGCATGGTGAACAAATGCTTGTTTTGAAGCTGATTTAGATGTTCACAATGTTTAATTATGTTATAACCACTCTGGAGACTGTGTTTCCAGTTTCTAACACCGTATTTAGGTAATGATGCCTGTAATTGTTGTTTTTCATTTATGTATATTGCACTTAAATTTGAAAGTTATACTTACATGCCTTAGTTTGCTAGAAACAAAAAAATTGGCATCCTTACACCTCATCACCACTAATTCATGATTTCACTATGACTCTGTAAATAGCACAACAGACACTCAAGCTCATGTTTTTTTTTTTTACTTTATTTCCATAATACAGAAGAGGGGAACACTGGATTGTCACAAACCAATGATCTATATTTATATTTGTCTTTTTTTTAATACTGTAAATATAACTGTAGGCATCTTTCAAAACTAGGGAGCTTGTGTTGTCCTATTGTTAACAACATGGATGTGTTCTTGAAATCAGAGAATTTTTGCTTTAGATGCAGTTTGTTTTTGTTAAACGTGAGGTGAAGGTTGACTTAGTTGGCTTTAACAAAGGATTCGTAGAGGGAGGCAAGACGACTCTGGAGGTCCTGGGTGTAGGGGTCCAGCTTCTCCCTTAGCTCTTCAACATAGGGGGTGGCCAGGTCTTGCGCCTGCTGGGCTCTCTGACTTAACTGAGCCTGGAACCTCTCTGTCAAAGGGACTGCACGCTTCTTGAAATCCTCCAGGTGCTGTTCAACCTTCTGCCTCAGGTCATCAGTGTAGGGAGGCATCTGAGCCTGCAGGTTCATCACACTCTGCTCCACCATGGCCTTCAACTCCTCGCTCTTCTGCATCAGGGTGGTCCTCAGGGCCTCGGAGTCCAGGGATTCTGTGTATGGGGCCAGCTCCTGTTTGAGCTGCTCCACTCTCTGCTCGACTTGGATCTTTATGTTCTCGGTGTAGGGCTCCAGCTTGTCCCTGACTGAGCTCAGTTCTTGGGTCACACGCGCTTTCAGCACATCAGCCTCTGTGGTGATTTTGGCGATCAGGTCCTGAGCTGTAGGTTGAAACTGCTCCTGGAGGGTTGCTGCGTACTTTCTGGCTACTTCAGTGCCTTCTGTCAGTTGTGCGCTAGACAGGAAAGTGAACAGTGACATTAAGTTTCATCTTAAATTCATATTTTAGTTCTAAGATTTGTTTTATTGTTGCCGGTATATTTTTTTTAACATATTGTTTGTGTGACACCAATGGTCAACTACCTGATTTCCTGTCCAAACTGAGATGTCTTGATCGTCTGGAGGGTGTCGTCAGCTGTCTGGGTGGCTTTGGCAACATAGTCCCAGAAAGCATCTGTCAGCACTTCCAGCTGTGGCTTGGGTGCATCAGCATAGAAGAGATTGGCGTGACAGCCTGTTGGACGGAGACAAAAACAGTTCAAGAGTTATATTTATTTATCAGTGCATGGCAGCCTGTTGCGAAATGTGACATTTGAACAATGCATATTCAACCCTCACTTTATCTTAAGCACATTAGTTGATATTTTGTAATGATTTCAAATTTACAATAACAACATTTTATCATACTCACCACTGAAAATAGCTAGGGCGAGCACAACAAGGACCTTCATGGTTCCTAGACCTTATAACATGAAAATACCAGTTAGTCACCACAGCAAGCAGCAGATGAGTAGACAGTTCCTCTCACTTCTCCATCTTACCTGAGGATTCGAGTGTATCTGCAGGTCCACTTGATGGTGCTTGTTTTCAGTTCATGAGGTTGTGCAGCTTATATAGCAAGCCAGACAGTAATGATCCCAAAGTCCAGGTGCTAGTGCCTTGCTGTCACCCTGCCTCACCCTGCTGTCTTCACTGACATCTTGTGCCAGAGAATCCACACAGCACACACGCACAAACCCACACTAGTACATCACTATACATACACCCCAACACAAACCAGTTTCATATCTGGCGGGTACCCTTTTTTATTTGAAACCATTGCTGCAATCTCTTAGAACTTTGTCCTTACAGGTCGGCCTGCAATCAGGTCTCTCTCAGCCATAAACTCCCTGCAGAGACAGACAGAACCTCTGTCACTTCTTTGATGTCCATCTTAGATTAGATATAGAGCAGGTGTTTTATTGTCTTTATTAGCCTTACAGTTTGCCACCCAACATCAGAGTAACTCATGGTTCTAGCTTCCGTGTCATTCCAATGTTCAGCAGTTCCTATGTGTCAGGCCAAAGGTTAGCATATTCAGACACCGTCAGCTTCTGAAGGACAAAGTAGCTGCTGCTTCACACCACACATGCCATAGTTCAGTTCTCAGAAACCACTTTTAAAGAGCAGTATTTACATTTGATTTATTTTTCTCCAGCTTGTGGTCTCTTTTTCTCTAAAAATAGCTCCTACACAGTGTCTGAGACTTGAAACTAGAACATTTTTTTGAAGATTTGAATTTTTTTCCCTGACTGTCTCATTCCAGATTACAAGTGTCTTGAAGGATAAATTGATATGGTAAATTTATTCCAAACTACTTATTCCAATTATTCCTTTCACTGATAAGTTTTATAGATTAAAGGTGCATTATGATTTTACACAGTTTGTTAAATCAAGTGAAAATGGGACATGGTTCCTCTCAGCTATACTAACCCCTCCATGACGCTTTGCTGCCTACAGCCCTTCTGTTGTTATTCCAGCTTTTCTAAACTGTGTTTTCAAAGTATGGTCCAAGAGTTAGGCTAGATAAATCTGCCACCTAGTGAAGGTTATAAGAAGCATTTTTCTACAACTGATCATTTCAAACAGCCTCTCAGCAGCTCAGGAGAGATCATGGTCTTTCCCACAGAGAGAGTGGGACAAAGAAAGAGCAAAAGCCAGGATTAACATCTGTTTGACTTTTTTAAGATCACTAAAAGCAGCCAGGGCTTAGAATTTATTTAGATGTGGCATTCTTCGTTCTGGATGCATTAGTCTCTAAAGCTAATGTGTTTGCTTTGTTTACATTAGCAACCGAGCATGATCATAATCTTACCTTTAATATGATTTTAATTCTAGCTTTGTTCACTTTAGCAGTTGCTTTCATTGAATTATATTGAGCGGTTTCTTCTTTTTAGACCTCTGAATATACCATTTTCTAACAGAGAATTCACTGCCCTGCACATTAACTGCATAATTCCTACAGGACTCCTTCACAGCTGAAACATACTTTTACAGATGAATAAGAAACTGCATTTTTCTGTGATGTGCTCAGTCACTGTTTAGTATGAGTGTTTCAGAGGTTTGCTTTGACTTTTGGAAATGCATAAATGTTTTTGTCACTACAGCAGATTCTGGTTAATTCACTAGAGAAAAGTTTAAAAAAGTCTTCGATCTGCTACCTCTTTCTTCTTGCAGCTCTTGTCTCTTTATGCCGTAACAGAAAGCGACAACCCTGTGTGCGGTTCAGTATCCTTATCCTTATCCATCTTCTTGTTACTCAGAAAATAATTGTCGGCATCTGCCTTAAGTCCCAGCATGAAGACCTGACATTTAAACATGTCAGGGAAATACAGAGCTACTCACACAGCCTGCTGGAACATGTGGAATAGAGACTCCATTACTGATTGACTCCAGAAACAAGTTTTATCTGCTGGATATTTTTTAGAAGTTGATATTATGTGTGATTATTTTGAGCCATTTTACTATGAAAATTTTAAAAGTGCCTTATGCTATTTTAATCATGTTGATTGAGTCTAATACAAAGTCCACCTGCGTCACCATACCACGTTTATCTGGAGTCATCAGCAGGCTGTTAACACTAGACTCTATGGATTGTTAATTACTAGGCTACTGTATATTTTCATTGCTTTCTAGAGAGGGGTCAAAGGAGAACTGCTGCAAGATGAAGCCACGTAACTTACAATACTATAAAGAGTGTGCCTGTGTGTCTGTGCTGTAGCCTCAGTGGTCATGTGGTAGTAGCCAGAAGAAGTAACAAACAGGAACAGAGCCATTTTGACAGCATGGCAGGGACTCGTGGACTTTGGGCTCTTGACGACAGCTGTTATCTGGCTTTAGTATATATACGCAGGAGCACCAGTCTGACACGCTAAACCCAGGGAGATACACAAGGCAAAAGTAGGTGAGAATTATACTGTATTTCAAAATAAAACTTCAGAAAGCAAACATAAATGTTTGTCTGTTAATGTAGCTTACATTCAACTTGATCACGATTGTTTTTCAGCAAGACACAGTCATGAAAGTGTTTGTGGTGCTAGCCATTACATTGCTGTCGGGTAAGTTGCAAGTTGTTCAACTTTTAATTGTTGTTTCCATATAGTCTAAGTCAAAGCTGACTTATGCTGGTAGAGCATTGTTTGATGAGCAGTCAGTATAAGATTTTTAAAAACTGCACTACTCTCACTGTTCTTGTCTCCATCCAAAAGGCTGTCATGCCAACCTCTTCTATGCTGATGCATCCAAGGCACAGCTGGAAGTGTTGACAGATGCTTTCTGGGACTATGTTGCCAAAGCCACCCAGACAGCTGACGACACCCTCCAGATGATCAAGAAGTCTCAATTTGGACAGGAAGTCAAGTAAGTTGTATAGGACCGTGATGACTGGGCCCACTAGAAACATGTCAAACTGTGGTTTTAGATTGGCATTATGCAAACCTCTAACTATTATTATATCTCTCTTCCAGTGCCCGCCTGGCAGAGAGTGCTGACATAGCCAGTAGGTACACAGTTGGCCTGCAGGAGCAGCTTTCCCCTACAGCCCAGGACCTGATGACCAAGCTCACCACCGAGGCAGACTTACTGAAAAAAGTGCTGGCAAAGGAGTTGGAGTCGGTCAGGGACAAGCTGGAGCCCTACACTGAGGACACAAAGGCCCAGATCCAGCACAGAGTGGAGCAGCTAAAACAGGAGCTGGCCCCATATGCAGACTCCCTGGACTCCGAGACCCTGAGGACCACCCTGATGCAGAAGAGTGAGGAGTTGAAGGCCGTGGTGGAGCAGAGTGTGATGAACCTGCAGGCTCAGATGCTTCCCTACAGAAGGTGGACCAGCACCTGCAGAACCTCCAGGATAGTGTGGCTCCCATGACCAAGAAGGTCCAGGTTGAGCTAAGTCAGAGAGCCAACCTGCTGAAACAAATGGTGGCTCCTTATGCTGAAGACCTGAGGGAAAAGCTGGACCCCTACGCCCAGGATCTCCAGGCCCAACTCATGACCCTCTACCAATCCCTTACTAATGCCAACTAAATCAACCTCCTTAGTCAACATGTTAGTTCACTGACCAAGATGCTGGCCTTGTTTGGTCTACCTCTGTTTGAAGCATGTTATCAATGAAATATATGCAGTATATTGTAAACCAAATTAAGTATAATATTTATTTTCTGAGTGCAATATTTGCAAAGCAAACCTCTGCACTAAAACATGTATATACTTAGTTTTTATTGTTTGTTGTTAAGTTGTAATTTGTCATTTTTTTAAATTTCTGTAAGTTATGAAAAAATAAATACAGAAACCTGGAAAAAAATATAAATAGACATTGTTGTACCCGGTACTTTTTACCATACTGACTCTGAGAGACGAGACAGTCCAAGTAACTACAAAACAGTGCTGATTTATTTCATGAACACAGGTAAAAATTAACATTACACGCTCAGGTATCTTGCACCTCCAAACTGCACGCAGGCAGATGAAAGA